CTATGCTAGAATCAACGCCTTCTACTTCCGACCGTTTGCAAGGTACGTCCAATGTTTCCTCATGTGAATGGTTAATAGACAGCGGGGCTTCACATCATATGACAGGGGTTTTCTCAAATTTGATGGATATAAAATCAGTGCCTCCTTGTACTATTAGCCTACCGGACGGATCTCGAGTTGTGGCAAACTCGTGTGGACGCGTGCAAGTGTCCCCGGCTTTGATTCTTCATGATGTGCTTTATGTGCCTAATTTAAAATGCAATCTTATTTCTGTGAGTTGTCTTGTCAACTCTCATAATTGTCATGTTTTCTTTGATGACCAATGTTGTGTGATACAGGACCGAACTTCGAAGACGCAGATTGGACGATGTGAAGTGCGCAATGGAGTTTATGTCTTTCCTTCTTTCGCCCGGGCATCCAAAGCCGAATCCGTCTCTCTTTTGCATCAGCGTCTTGGTCATCCGTCACCTCAAGTTTTGTCCTTGCCTCCTTTTAATAAAAGTGCAGCTGAAATTAAAAATTTTCAGTCATGCGACATTTGTTTCTTTTCAAAGCAAACTCGTTCTAGTTTTTCGTCCAGTCTTAATAAAGCTGATGCCTTGTTTGATTTAATTCATTGTGATTTATGGGGGCCATATTCTCCGTGTTTGTCTACTGGTTCTCATTATTTTCTCACCATTGTTGATGATTATTCTAGAGCTGTTTGGGTTTTTCTTATTGTGAACAAAACTGAAGTTACTAGTTGTCTGAAACAGTTCTTCCAAATGATTCAAACCCAATTTGGAAAAGTTGTAAAAATTGTACGCACAGATAATGGGACTGAATTTGTGAACAAACCCTTGCGTCAGTTTTACACGACTATGGGGGTACTGGTTCAAACGTCATGCGTTAACACCCCACAACAAAATGGGCGTGTGGAACGTAAACACAGACATATTCTTAATGTCGCCCGTTCTTTGATGTTTCAAGCTTCTTTGCCTCTTGAATTTTGGGGTGAATGTGTGCGTACAGCTGTGTATCTTATTAATCGTACCCCTACTCCTCTCCTTCAGGGTAAATCACCTTTTGAACTCCTTTCTTCAAAACCTCCAGACTTGTCTCTTTTAAGGGTATTTGGGTGTTTATGTTATGTACGTCTCAACCCTCGTCCACAAAATAAATTTCAACCCCGTAGTCTTAAATGTATGTTTGTGGGATATCCTACGGGGACTAAGGGTTGGCGTGTCTATGACCTTGAATCCCATCGGTTTTTCCATACCAGGGACGTTTCGTTTGACGAAACGGTTTTCCCGTTTGCATTGTCCTCTAAATCACCCACGCCTCCCGTCGTCGAACCCACCACCCACGCCGATTTCCCGACCACCGCACCCACTGCCGAACCCAGTCCCGCCGTTTCAGCAATCCCTACGGAGTCCTCGTCATCCTCCGGACAGTCTTCTCCTCATTCCTATAGCGACGGCGAGTCTGACCCGGACAGTTCGCCGTCGCCTGTTCGTCCCACTCGTGATCGGCGACCTCCTGCACGGTTGTCCGATTACTACTGTCATACCGCCCGGACGTCTACTCCCATTGTTCCTCACATTGTCTCGTCTAAATCTTCAGGTACGCGATATCCTATCCACAATTTTGTTCATTATGAGAAATTACATGACAGGTACCGGGGATATTTGGCTGCTGTGACTTCGTGTGAAGTTCCAACGTCTTTCAAACAGGCCATGCAATATGATAATTGGAGGAAGGCTATGCAACAAGAGATTACTGCGTTGGAAAATAATCACACATGGGAAGTTACTGAACTTCCCCCCGATCGGACGGCTCTTGGGTGTCAGTGGATTTACCGTACCAAGTTTCACTCGGATGGAACAAAGGAGCGTGATAAAGCTCGCCTGGTTGTGTTAGGGAATCATCAAGAGTTTGGTAGAGATTACACAGATACTTTTGCTCCCGTAGCAAAGATGGGTACGATACGTATTTTATTATCTGTTGTTGTTGCACGCGGTTGGGAGATTCATCAGTTGGATGTTAATAATGCATTTTTAAATGGTGATTTGGTCGATGAGGTGTATATGCGAATGCCTCCTGGTTTTTCTATCCCCGGCAAAGTTTGCCGTCTTCGGAAATCTTTGTATGGGCTTCGTCAATCTCCACGTAATTGGTTCCATAAACTTAGCACTGCTCTTCGTCAGTGGGGGTTTAAACAGGCTCATAAGGATCATACTCTGTTTATTCTTCATAAGGGCCCTGATATCCTTACGGTCCTAGTATATGTTGATGATATTTTGGTTGCAGGCAATAATCCCTCTTTATGCACCTCTTTTAAACAATATTTGGACAGGTGTTTCCAACTCAAAGATTTGGGTCCGGTCAAATATTTTTTGGGGATTGAATGTGCCCGTTCTGCATCGGGTATGGTTTTGTGTCAACGAAAGTATGCACTGGAGATTTTACAGGAAGCCGGTCTGTTGGGATGTGAGCCGGCTGACACGCCGTTACCCACGACGCACAAACTGGGCACGTCGACCGCGACAGTCCTCCATGACCCAGGGCGGTACCGCCGACTTGTGGGTCGTTTGATTTATCTCACTATTACTCGGCCGGATATTTGTTATGCTGTCCATGTTTTATCTCAGTTTATGCAGGCTCCTACTCTCGATCACATGAACGCAGCTATGCGTGTTCTTCGTTATATCAAAGGCCATCCGGGTCAGGGTATTTTTCTCAGTGCTAACAGCAATTTACAAATCTCTGCCTATTGTGATTCTGATTGGGCTAGCTGTCCCGTGTCCCGTCGGTCTGTTAGCGGATATTTTATTATGTTGGGGACTTCCCCGGTATCCTGGAAGACGAAGAAGCAAACCACTGTTGCCAGATTGTCCGCAGAGGCGGAATACAGGGCTATGGCAAATGCTTGTGTGGAGGTCCGTTGGATGCGGGGGATTCTCCTCGCCTTGGGAGTTCCTATTTTATATCCTCCCCGATTATATTGTGACAATCAGTCAGCTTTGTATATTGCAGCTAATCCTGTTTTCCATGAACGAATGAAGCATGTGGATGTTGATTGTCACACCGTTCGAGAAAGTGTCCAACGACATGAGGTGTCAACGAGATATGTTCCTACTCGGTACCAGTTGGCCGATATTTTCACTAAGCCGTTGGGCAAACCTAGTTTTGATTTTTTGTTGTGCAAGTTGGGCATTCAGGATCTTCATGCGCCAACTTGAGGGGGAGTGTTAGCGGATATTTGTATTTAGTTGTATTATTGTATTGGGCCCACATGTGTAACCCTAGCCCGTCTCGTGTAAACTTGTATATATACGGTCTTGGTTGTTCAATGAAAACACGTAACCTTTACAAAGTACTCTTATATGCAGTACTTTGTAAAGGTTACGTGTTTGTTTATTAATTTCTTGAATTCAACCAAATTGGAGCAAATTTATCGCAAATGTTTCTGCTCGTAATTCAACACAGAAAGTAAGAAACACGCCCAATGCCCTAATTAGAGAAAATTTATCATCAGTAAGACACAAAATGAGTGAAACTAATGGGTTAGACTTTTGTAAAAGATTGTTTAAAGTATTTGGGATTTATTGTGCAGGAAAATGGAGATATACAAGTATTTTAAACACAACCAGTGCAGGTTAAGGTTAGCAAAAACATAAGAATATCATCTTTAGCAGGAAGAAGGCCTATCCACTAGGTGCCTCTAGGCATACTCAACAACTTAGCCTTATATTCCAAGTAACTTGGGGCCGGCTACATTAACCAAAAGGGGAATCACGTTTGGGCAGTCATAAAAATGTTTTCCCCATTTCTTTCTAACCATTACAACTTTCTTGTCCAAACTGAGATTAGACAAATAGCTACTAATAGCCTCCTTGCACGTTTTTTGGGTCTCCCACTTCCTCTTTAGCTTAGTTCATTTGTCCACCGCTCAAGTCTTCTAACCTGTGATTCGGTGAACCACAGTCTTCTTTCTTAATTGTTAGTATCCAAACCACCACAATTGACACTCCCTCAATTTATCTTCATTTGGTGTTACTTCTACCATCTTTTGGCTGATTTCATTCCTTATTTTACCTATTGTACCGTGCCCATAAATCCAACATTTGCATTCCAGTTACCTTAATTTTCTTAACATGGCAATCTTTAGCGACATTCTATAAAACATTCTCTTAAGCTTCAAAGTTATATCATAACTACAAAGAAAGTACTCCAGTTGCACTCCTCCACTTCAACCAACCCACCTTTACTAGATGTTCATAATCTCCATCTTTTTGCATAATAGAACTCAAAATCTAAAACGATCACTGATCCAGATATTACGATAATCTATAGTTAGTTAGTTACTAAACTTGCATTCCATATATTCTGCTACACTTTTACAGAGTCTCAACTCCTTAGACTCTAATGTATTCCTTTAATTTCTAAACTCTCATTTACACCCATATTAGCCCATCTATGAAACAGTATCATCAGCAAACAACATAAACCAAGGTAAACCAACTTGTACAGCCCCAACCCTAGTGACTTAGGACTACAGTTTAGTTGCTTCATAAATATTTAGTCCCACATATCACTTGTGGCATACATAACACCTTTTCTCTCATTTCTAGGCCTTCACCAATTTTGAATCCAATTGAGTAATCAAGTCAGTTAACCAATATGTCCATTTTAAGCATTATATACTCGGTAAATATATTATATCCATAATCTTTTGTGAGTGCCACATAAAGCATTTGGGTATTGGAATCGTATATGATGACGGTGACCTCAACCATGCCCAGGTTGTTGTATGTAGGACACATCTAATTAACACTCCTTTTAAATGCTCTAGGCTTTGAGCAACATTTCAAATTTTCCATGTCACTGATCTAGGATTCTTCATAAATATGTAAAAGCAGAAGTCTTCAACCAAAAATAAGACAATAATTTCCTAACCCAACCAATAATTTGAAATATCTGCAATCGTCTCATGCTACAAGGTATGAAATATGAATCATTAACCTTAATACAGCTCCATTGGCAATAACACATTAACATGTACACAAATCAAAGGAGAGACCTCAGACAAAAATTAAATGCACTTACAGAAGGCGGAGAAGAATGCCTTGTATTGACAATCATATGAGTTCAAAAACTCAGAGAGACAAGATCTCTGGTGCATCTACTACCTGTAGCAAGTAGCAAGCATTATAAAAGGAAATTTAACTAGAAAGAAATCATCAATGCATAAAAAGAAAGGAAATATATTTAAAAAACAGATTTTTTCCTTCTGCTTCAAGGAAACACGATCCAATGTAATAATGCTTGTGAGAACAGTATAGAATATGAAAGTATCATAAGGGAAAAGCTCATAGGTTGTAAATGTTGAGATAGAATCAAGGAAAAGGTTAGATGCTTTTTTAAAGTTGCGGGTTGACATGCAGAAAAGTCCTTCATAGACCTGCAACCGGTTCTTTCTTTCCCAATCACCCCCTTCTTCAAATTGTTGGGTTTGTGGAGGATTGGGCTTGACTTGTAGGCCCGACCCATGTTTTGTAACCCTAGGTTTTTCTCCTATATATTAGCCCTCGTACTTGTAATTCCGTGAGACACCACAAGTGAAATAAGAAAATCCTCCTGTTGCAGCCGTGGATTAGGGAAACTGAACCACGTTAAATTCTTGTGTGTCGTTTGTGTTCCGTTTCTCTCGTTTCTCGCCGATTATTCCGTTTCTCTTGTTGGGAATTAAACACACAACTGCCGGATTCTCGAACATCCTGAGAACAAACACTCTCCATACTCAACAAGAAATTTTCTGGAGATGTTCCAACAGCTGGGATACTGGTTCTCCGGACCCATTGTCTTCTAGGAACCTTGGCTGAAGCACCACCTGTGCTCCCACTACCACAGATACCTCTAACTGGCCTCCTTGAACATTTCCTCGCTCGTCCAACCTGAGTCTGACCTGTGGCTTTGGGTTCCTCTCTTGCAAAGACAACCTTCTTCTGCCCACGAGACTCTGTGAACCAGACTTTGTTTCTCTTCTGAACTGGAACGGTTACTCCCTCAGATGGTAACTCGACCATGTACAGCGAATCACTCTTCCTTCCGCGGGCCATGACAAGATTTCCCTTCAAGACCTTCCACTGCCCGTTTCCGAACTTCACCTCGTGTCCCTGTTCGTCCAACTGCCTAACAGAAATCAAACTTTTCTTCAAGGCTGGAACCACTCTGACATCCTTCAAAGTCCAGAAACTGACTGGGATCTTCAGCACTATGTCACCCATGCCCGTCACATCAAGAGCTCTATCGTCTGCAAGTCGTACTTTTCCAAAGTCCCCAACAACTAGATTCTGCAATGCTTCACCGCTGTGGGTAGCATGAAATGAAGCACCAGAATCCATGACTCAGGAATCCACATTACTTTCCTCACAGCAAGTCAGAGTGACCTCCTCGTCACCCGCAGAGCCTTTAGCAATGTTCACTTTATTATAATTCGGGCATTGATTCCTAAAATGCCCCACCTCCTTGCATTTCCAGCACGTTACATCTGAGCTGTCACGAGTCTTCGACTGACTCCTTTGTCTGTTCCTGCTCCCACTACCTCTGCTATTTCTTCTGCCTCTACCAAGATGAAGCAATTCACCAGATGACTCCCCTGAACTCTTTCTTCTGACATCCTCGCCAAGAACGAGATCTCGAATATGATCAAATGTGAATCCATCGGGTCCCACTGAACCGGTAACTGTTGTAACCGTTCCGGACCAACTATCAGGTAAAGACGATAGCAGTAGTAAAGCTTGAACTTCATCATCGAACTTAATGTCCACTGACAAAAGTCTGGCTAAGATCGAATTCAACTTGTTGATATGCTCGGTAACTAAAGTGCCTTCTTTGATCCTTGTGTTCACCAGCTCTCCGATCAGAAAAATTTTGTTCGCTGCAGATGGCTTCTCGTACATGTTAGACAACGCTTTCATAATTCCCTTCGCTGTCTTCCCCTTCAGAATGTTGAACGTAACATTCTTGGTCAACGAGAGACGGATCACGGAAATAGCTTTCCGATCCAAACCTGCCCAATCTGCATCCGACATCTTTTCTGCCTTGTCACCCAAAATCACGTCCAAATCTTTCTGAACCTGCAAATCTTCAATTTGCATCTTCCACCAACTGAAATCTGTACCATCAAACTTTTCAATTCGGAACTTCCCATCTTCTGCCATCTCAAATGACTAGACGAGATACCTGGTAGAACTAATTTCAGATCTTGGTAATTTCGTCAGAAAATCAAGCCCACCACACTAATTAAATATGTCCAAACCAAATCAGCCCAATATCCAGCAACAAGGAAAAATTACAGCCCAAGAGGAAAAAGAATAGCTCACTAGCCCTTCTTTTCTCTTACCTTTTTTTTCTTCTGCCGATCTGTACCTGCCAAAAGTCCAAAGAAACCCTTTCTTTTCTATCAGGAGGCGGCGCAAGCTTCTGCGTGCGGCCAGCGGCGGCGGCTCGGACGGCGATGGCGACCCACTGGACGGCGGCGGTGGCTCGGCGAGCGGTCGGACGACACCTGCTCGCGGTGGTGAACTCTGCGCGCTGGACGATGGAGGCTCTCGACTGGACGACGGCGGCAGATCTATCTCGCTCCTGCCGCGTTCAGTTTTCCAGCGGCGGCGATCTGATCTGATGGTAGCAGCACGATCTGAAACGGCACGGCTTCGCGGCGGCGAGTTCAATCTCGTATCCGGACGGCTGCGACGGCGGCTCTAACCCTAGGAGGTCTACGGCGGCGCAACGAAGGGATGCTGCGGCGGCTCGCAGACGATGGCGAACCCCTGCGCAGCTCTCTCCCCCTTCTCAAACAGGCGGGGCTACTCTCCTCCGCAGCAACTCCTCTTTCTCAGGCGCACAATTCAACGATCCAGATCTGCAAACCTTAGGTGACAGCCTCTCGCTATTCGTGTTCTCGTGTTGAACAACTTGGCTCCGATACCACTTGTTGGGAATTAAAACACACAACACACCCAAATAATCTGCGAGAAATTAGAGAAACCGAACCACGTTAAATTCTTGTGTGTCGTCCGTGTTCCGTTTCTCTCATTTCTCGCAGATTATTTGTGTGTGTTGTGTGTTTTAATTCCCAACACAAATAGGCTACCATTCAAGCAAATAAGAAATAATTATGAGAAAAAGGCAATCACTGAGAATAATTACAGCACCAGAAATTAAATTCACTAAAGATTCACGTCCCCCATACTTCTTTGCCCTATCAATGCTTTTTGATATGAGGTCAAAGTCCATGTCAAAGAAACCCATCTGGAGTGTATAAACTACCAGGTCCATTTTCTGCCCAACAGCAACAGTTTTGCTCTCGGTCACCTTGAGCTGCTCTAAAGCTTTATCCCGAGTTTCATAGTGAAACATAACCCCATTCAAAATTGGAAAAATGCACAATTTCAAATTTCAATGCTATCGAAAATGTATAGCATTCATTCTCACCTTGTCACCTATACGAATATAAAACAGACATTTTGCCAGGTGAGCCTCTCTGACTTCACTTTCTCCTAAATTTTCTTCAGCATTAGCAATCCTACATATATGCTAACCAATTTGAGACAACATTTACCAAAAAACAATTGCATCCAAATGTTATAGCCAGTAGCCACCTTGCAAAAATATAAATAGAAAAATACTTCCAAATAGAGGCAATAGACAGGAAACACAACAACCAACAACAAACCGAGTGTAATCCCACAAGTGGGGTATGGGGAGGGTAGGATGTGCCTCCACCTGTGAAAGAGGGAGAGGCTTTTTCTGATAGACCCTCGGCTCAAAAAGGAATAGATCGGAGTGAGTTCGTCACAAAATGCAAATGAATAAAAACTAGAAGATTAATGAGATACACAGACAACAAAGCAGCACATCCAAGTTCACAAAAAAATAATCTGAACAAACAACAATGCACTCTAAGAACTACAAACACACAAAAAGAGATGGAAGGAGCCTCTTAAATTAGAGAAACAAAGCCTAAACATACTACCACCCTTCTATCCGAATGCTTGACCCCCAAAACTTCCTATGTAAGGTCCTGGCGTCGGTATGCTTGAGTCTAGGGATCTCATGTTTGATAACCTCCCCCTAATCCACAAATTCACAACTCTCCTCTTCACCTGTCTGAACCATTGAGGCCCTACTTCTGTCATCTTGTCCACCATGAAGACCATCCTTCTATGTCTCGAAACACTCTTTTGACAAATAATCTATTTGAAATAAAAATATGTGCAGCAAAAAATTCAAACTGCTCAGGAAAGTCGGCAATTCAGTATAGCCCTTTAAGTCTCATAACAATTTAACAACCCTTAAATAATTATAATAATAAGCAAGATAACAATTTTAAAAATAGAGGACTAGTATAAGGAAATGTAAAAGTACAAATAGAAAATAAACGCTTACAACAGGCACACAGACCGGAAAATAATGTCATTTTAGATCCCAACTGTTAGCAAAAAAATTACACATTCGGTCAACTTACTGGGGTAAGAGACATGCAAGATGCAGTGTTCAGGAAAAAACTTCAAACACTTAGTGTATGTTTGGTTCAAGGAATTTGAAATGAAAAAGAAAAGAAAATGGGATGGAAAATAGTTTTTCTTGTTTGGATAGAGAGGAAAAGAAAAGAAAAGTGGAAGGAAAATGAAATGAGAAGACAAAATATATTAAGAGGAGGGAAAATCAAATTCCTTCCATTTTGGTGAGAAAAATAAGAGAAAATCATTTTCTTTTCTTTTCCTTTCAAAATCTTTGAACCAAACATAGTGTTAGATCTTCTCCTTTCATTTTGTACAAAATGCAAACATATCACTTGAGCAAAATGATGCTGATTAATATTTTTGTTATAATCATTTTCATTAAAAAATAAAAATAGAGGGGAATAAAGGGAATGCAACAAGAACGTAAAATAAGATAGGAGAAAGATAAAAAAGAATGTCAAAGAAGCACATAAGCGCCCCACTATCCCTTTGAAATTTTAACCTTCTGACCAAATGCATCAGCCTCAAAACAATGTTAATGACCAAACCACCCCGACAAAAATCCATGCTAATAGATTATGAATCATAAAATCAACAACAACAACCACCACAACAAACCCAACAAAATCCCACAAAAAGTAGGGTTTAGGGAGAATGTGTGTAAGCATACCTTACCCCTACAGGCCCTACTCAATAGTAGAGAGGCTGTCTCCAAGAGACCCCTAGCTTGAGCAAAACAAATCTTTTATAATTCACATTTTGTACTGCTATTTTCTACTCTGGCCTGAAACGAACTTCATGATTTGACTTCTCAGAATTTAAGAAATGCATTGAATGGTAAGAAGTGTGTGATTGAAATATATTTAGAGAAAGAAAACTTATGAGCCACATGCTTCCTTAATAGGAAAAAGGAAATTAGTGGGACGGATGAAAAGGAAATGTGTGAATTTTATTTTGTTTATTTTGTTCATAAGATGAAGCATTTAAAAAAGAATAGTTGACACTAAAAAGACCAATAAATGGGACCAAGAAAAAATGTCATTTCGTCACTTGGTGGAATGAAGTTCATAATATTTCATAGTTTCATTTCAATGGTGAGAAATATGATGCATATTGAATTTAAAATGTTGAAGATTGTTTCTCGTAGCCCAAAAGAATGCATCTCTAGATGACACAGAATCCATGATTCATTTCTTATTTTAATTTATGGTTCAAATTTCGTCCACTGCGAGAAATGAGATATAACAAAACATTGCTCTTCAAATAAATCAAACCCCTAGAACTAAGTAACTTAATCTTCCAAAATAAAGGGGTGTAAAATGAACACGGAAAGCTCACTTTTCATGAAGCTTTTTGAGCTCCTCATCAATCCTATCACGCATCAAATGAAGAACCTTTGGATCCAAAATCAGTATGCACTTCGCGGCTAGGATTTGGTACAAGGGAGCCATATCTGCGGTTAGCTGGAGACAAACATTTCCAAATATCACACAAAAAACTTTAACAAATTATATATCCAAAAGAAACAAAAAAAACTTACCATTGGAGATCATGACATTGTACACCTCATCGCGTAGGCGAACTTTCTGCAGGTCGTCAACATGGGAGTTAGTAAGCAGAGAGATGTTTTTGGCTAAAGCCAGGTGCTACGTCTGCGTTCCTTCTTCTTCCATGGGTGCCTAGTTGACTTCTCTGGTGAAAAGTTTGATTCCACAGAGAGAGAACGAACAACGTTAAGCTAAGAGCACTGAGAATTTCTAAGCAGCTTTAACTTTTCTTACAAATTCACTTGAAAAGTTGTTTCAAACTGGGGCTTCAAACCTTCATTTTTTACATTTTTAAATATACATCTTCTAAAACTAAATTAATAAAATGTAATTAATTTATTATTTAAATTAACCGCAATGAGACTAGTGCATTAAAAAAATTACATTCATGAAAAAAATATTACATTCATTAAAAAAATATTACATTCATAAAAAAAATTACATTCATAAAAATACATTAATAAAAAAATTACATTCATTAAAAAATTACTACATAAAAAAAACAACACTACAAAGAAATTACTAATTATTCGAGCGACTAAAGATATGTTCGATCAAATCCGCCGTTAGTGCATTGTGAATCTCTAGGCTTCGAATTTCTTGGCGGTTTCTTTGTTTCTTTTCTTCGTTGATTTCTTCGTACATAGGCACATCCTCGTCCGGGTTGTATTGACAAATCGTAGTCCCATTGTCCTCTATGATCCTATTATGAAAAATAATACATGCGTACATGATATTCCTCATTTTCGTTTGAGAATAACATTTCGACGGACGATCTAGAATGTGACATTTACCCTTCAAGACCCCAAAGGCTCGTTCAATATCTTTTCTCGCCGCCTCTTGAGCTTTTTTGTAGGTCTAGCGTTTAAGACCCATTGGTTCGGAGAGAGATTTGTCGTCCTCTCTTTTTACGCATACTCGCCGATGTTGAACGCGAGGTTCCTTGGTTCACCCAACGCTTTGATGCGAGAGGCCGACGCGGGTTTAGTAGTGTCCAGAAATGCACTGTAACACCCGCCTTCCATGGACCCGGTTCACCCGCGACCCAATGGACCGGTAGGGTTACATGGCCGGTCCGAGAACCGTCCGTAATGTAAAACATTAATGTGTATTTATTATGAAAAACGGTTGGGTTTAATTGGTGAAATAAATGCTAGGGAGTTAATCCCAAAACGTGTGAGTCATAAATACGGAGTAAAACGGAAGTAAATAAATAAGTCCAGTCCAAGATAAGTAAAATGAAAAATGGTGGGTTCATGCCCAAATGTTAAATTAAATGTATATAAATATTAAACTTGTCCGTGCGCCGCCCATCTTCCCATCTTGCCATCATCAGTGTCCTCCAGGGTTAGCACTGGTACCGTCATGTCTACCTACGCGTAGCAAAAACAACTACACGCTCAGCAAAAGCTGAGGAGTGAGTCTAACAAAAGAACATGAAGTGATAACCCATATGGTTATACACATATTAATGTCTGTACTTAACGTACGGAAAACCACATGTTTACTAATTGATTAGTTTGCACTTGTTGGGGTACTATTACATATAACAAAATGATGTACTACCACATTGAATATGAATATGATGGGGAACATACATGATGATGACATGACTTGATGCATGATTTAAACTTTCAGGGACACCCCTGGCTTAGTCTCACTTGACAGGATCACCCCTGCACTCCGGTTGTCATACCTAAACGGTAATGAGCCGGGCTCGACATAAACGTCGCAAATGGACTAGCAAAACCGGGTAGTAGCCGTAACCTGACTACTATGTACGTACACAAGGCCCACATGATAAAAACCCGTTGGACCCCAAAGGTTCCACGACGAGCCCACTGTAGTAGGCGCACGACAGCCTGACCTCCTTACAACGGTATGCACATGATGTAAAAACCTAGGACATGCGTCTAGAATGAACATGATGAATGCTTGATATATTTACCTTTGGTCAACGGCAAGAATATATCAATTAAATAACATAAATAATGAAGATTTACATTTCATGCGAACAAACAATCAGATTCTGGGTCAATGTGGTCAACAGGATCATTCTACAAACTGCCCGCGGAACGCTCGACCGTACCCTACCGGAGGTCGATCGTGGGCTATGGTCTGGGTCTGGGTCTCAAACGGTCCACCGTCGCGGCCGGCGGTCGACCGTCACGGTGGTGACCATCAGGATGGCCGAGGGAACGGTCCACCGTCCATAGCGGCGGTCGACCGTCCTGAAGACAGTCCACTGTCCTTAGCTTTGTTTTGATCCATTTTGAAAACTTAACACCTTGATTCTTTTTAGAACAGTAATACAACCATTGATGAATATATTCCTAGTGATTCCTAGGCCAATATATATAAGTTTTAAGTAGTGAACGTTTTGATGGCTAACCTACGAACATGCATAGATTCTACGTAGGTTGCGTACGATATTCCTATGAATATAACGACATAGATTATAACTAAATGTTCTAGAATTAGAGGGGACAATTACTCACCTCTAAACGAAGAGGTTGGAACTATGAAGACGACGAGGAACGACGACTATGCTTCGCACGAACGGCCTAACTCTTCTTCTTCTCTCTCTTCCTCAACCGTGCACCCACCGAAGCTTCGCCGGAGAACTTCCTTGGGCTGCTGCCCTGGCCGAGCAAGGGAAAGAGGAAGATGGATGGTGATGATGGAGACTTGATGATGAATTAACAATGGGGGGGAGGGGTTACACAAATGGAGATGATGAGAATGGGGAGTGTATCTTATAATGATGGACATTATGCTGAGTTAAGAGAATTAAAGGAGAAATTGAAATTGGGAAACGGGCGATCATGGCTGGACGTGTGAATAATGGGGGTTACAAATATTTATTTTACTCCGTTATGTAAAATCTGACCTGAACGGTACGCGCTTTCCCCCCCGAACGGGTCCGAATTGAGATCCGGTTGCGTTTCTAGAATCAAACAGTCAAAACGAATTTAATGATATGATCAAATAATTTTTCTAAGAACTTCATTTTCCCCAACTCCGATCCGGAATAGTAATTAGTTAATTAAATTAATCAATTCTAATAGATCGGGTTGCAGGGCATTACAATTATCCACCCCTTAAGAAAATTTCGTCCTCGAAATTTACCTAATCATTGGTCACGGAAAAGATGTGGATAACGAGTGCGCATGGATTCCTCGGTTTCCCATGTCGCCTCCTCGGCGGTGTGACTTCTCCACAGAACCTTGACCAGCGAAATGGTTTTGTTCCTCAACTGACGGATCTCACGAGCCAGAATCTCAACTGGCTCCTCCTCTTACGTAAGATTCTCATCGAGTGTGACCGTATCAACTGGAATCACATGAGAAGGATCCGACCGGTAGCTTTAGAGCATGGACACGTGGAACAAATTGTGAATCTTGCTCAACTCCGGTGGTAACTCGAGCCTATAAGCTACAGGTCCCACCCGTTCAGTGACTGGGTACGGGCCTATAAACCTCGTACTAAGTTTTCCCTTCTTGCCAAAACGTAATACGTTCTTCCAAGGCGACACCTTCAAGAAAACCTTGTCCCTGACTGCATACTCGATGTCACGCCTCTTAAGGTCGGCGTAGGACTTCTGTCGGTCCGAAGCCGCCTTAAGTCGGTCCTTAATCACCTGGACCTTCTCCTCGGTCTCACAAACTAGATCTGGTCCTTCCAACCTCCTCTCGCTGAGCTCTCTCCAGCAGGTAGGAGTACGACAGGGTCTACCATACAGAGCCTCGTACGGTGCCATACCGAAGGTAGCCTGGTGACTGTTGTTGTATGCAAACTCCATGAGCGGTAGATATTTCTCCCAACCGTCCCCGAAGTCGATCGAGCACGCGCGCATCATATCTTCGAAAATCTGAACCACCCTCTCCGACTGACCGTCGGTCTGAGGGTGGAACGCGGTACTGAAGTGGAGATCGGAGCCCAACGCTCTCTATAGGATCTTCCAGAATTGTGATGTGAATCGGGGGGTCATGATCCGAAATGATAGATTAAGGAACTCCATGTAGCCTGATGATCTCACGGATGTACAACTCTGCTAAACGCTGAAGTGGAAAGTCACGACGAATGGGGAGAAAATGAGCTGATTTGGTCAACCGGTCAACGATGACCCAAACTGTGTCGTGTTTACGTGGTGACAATGGCAGTCCCACGACAAAATCCATCGTGATACGATCCCACTTCCACTCGGGAATCGTAATCTGCTGAAGTACTCCAGAGGGAACCTGATGCTCGGCCTTGACCTGCTGACAAGTCAAGCACCGCGATGTGAACTCTGTGATCTCCCGCTTCATCGCGGGCCACCACTAATGTCTCCTAAGATCCTGGAACATCTTGCTACTGCCCGGGTGCATGGTATATACGGTGTTGTGTGCTTCACGAAGCAGGCGCTCTCTCACCTCCCCCGCTGGCACTACCTGTAACACCCCGGCCCCCACCCTGGCCGTAAGTGTTCGCTCAAAGGATTATAGACTTGCCCCACAAACCAACACAAGTCTTTTCCCGCGCACTTTGTCCTCACTCATGCGCGCCCAAGGAAACTTCCCAGGGGGTCACCCATCCTAGAATTGCTCCAGGTCAAGCACACTTAACTTTGAAGTTTCTAGGTGATGAGCTCTCGAAAAGAAGATGCACCTTGTTGGTATGAGTAGTACTATCAATCCTTTTGAGCTCTTCCCTTTTCCATCTTGATACGGGGTATTGCATTCACCCCCACTTAGGATTGCAACGTCCTCGTTGCATCCTTTTTTTTTGAACCCCATAGATCTTCCCCGCTAGGTGAACTAAGCTTTTTTGGCCCGTCACGGTCGCAGGGTTGCTCTGATACCATTTGTAACACCCCGGCCCCCACCCTGGCCGTAAGTGTTTGCTCAAAGGATTATAGACTGGCCCCACAAACCAACACAAGTCTTTTCCCGCGCACTTTGTCCTCACTCATGCGCGCCCAAGGAAACTTCCTAGGGGGTCACCCATCCTAGAATTGCTCCAGGTCAAGCACGCTTAACTTTGAAGTTTCTAGGTGATGAGCTCTCGAAAAGAAGATGCACCTTGTTGGTATGAGTAGTACTATCAATCTTTTTGAGCTCTTCCCTTTTCCATCTTGATACGGGGTATTACACTACCATACGCTCCCGATAGTACAATATATCATCCTGAACTGTGAAATCCGGCTTCTCGCCTCTAGAGACGAGCTCAATAGTCTGGATAAAAAAATCGTCGCTGCTCTGGGCTGATGCTATCTGCTGTCGTATTGTAGGCTGAACATGCAACACAGCTAGAGTCTTACGACTAAGGGCATCGGCTACCACATTCGCCTTACCAGGGTGGTAAGCGATGTGACAGTCATAGTCCTTAATCAGCTCTAACCATCGCCTCTGTCGGAGATTCAGATCATTCTGTGTCAACAAGTACTGAAGGCTCTTATGGTCGGTGAAGATACGCGTTGTCTCACCGTAGAGGTAATGCTTCTAGATTTTCAAGGCAAGTACAATAGCTGCTAGCTCAAAGTCGTGCGTCGGATAATTATACTCATGCGGCTTCAACAGCCGAGACGCATAAGCAACGACCTTGCCCTCCTGCATGAGAACACATCCCAAGCCGTTATGGGACGTGTCGTTGAACACCGTATACTCCACTCCTGGAGTGGGCTGAACTAGCACTGGTGCCTGGGTCAAACACTCCTTCAGCTGCTCAAAACTCTACTGACAAGCGTCAGTCCAAACGAACTTGACGTCCTTCCTCATCAGCTTGTGCAACGGTGACGCTATTTTGGAGAAGTCCTTCACGAACCGGTGATAGTAGCCTGCCAATCCGAGGAAGCTCCTCACCTCACGTGCATTACGCGGAGTCTTCCACTCCGTGATCGCGGATATCTTACACGGGTCTACCTTTACACCTTCGGCCGAGATGACATGGCCGAGGAAGTTAACCTTGAGCAGCCAGAACTCGCACTTGGATAGCTTGGCGTAAAGCTGCTGTTCCCAAAGAATGCTCAAAACGATTCGTAAATGCTTGGCGTGCTCCTCCTGTGTCTTGGAGTACACCAAGGTGTCGTCGATGAAGACCACCACAAACTGATCAAGATGCTTCCGGAACACACTGTTCATCAGATCCATGAACACAGCTGGTGCGTTAGTCAAACCAAAGGGCATGACTGTGAATTCGTAATGACCGTATCTAGTGCGGAATGTCGTCTTAGGAATGTCTTCCTTCTTGATGGGAATCTGATGGTATCCTGACCGGAGATCGATCTTAGAGAAGACTGTGGCTCCTCTCAGCTGCTCGAACAAATCGTCAATACGTGGTAACGGATAGCGATTCTTGATGGTGACTTTGTTCAACTGACGGCAATCGATGCACAACCGCATCGACCCGTCCTTCTTGCGGAAGAACAGAACTGGTTTTCCCCAAGGGGACACACTGGGACGAATGAAGCCCTTATCCAGCAACTCCTGTAGTTGAGCCTTCAGCTCCTTCATTTCCGCAGGCGCCATGCGATAAGGTGTGATTGAGATTGGTCCTGTTCTTGGAACTAAGTCAATGGAAAACTCTACCTCTCTAGGGGGCGGTAGGCCGGGTAAGTCATCTGGGAACACATCGGGAAAGTCACATACCATAGGGATGTCTCCCCTACTAGGTGCCTCCTGACGAGTGTCATGAACTGTGCATAAGAATGCCTCGCACTTCTTGCGAATGAGTCGGCGAGCATGAATGTAGGAAATAAATATTGGAGCTTTCGGGAGAAGCTCACCACGGATCAGAACGTCGCTACCATCTTCGGCTCTCAGCCGAACAGTGTGCTCTCCATAGTCAACAACGGCTTGGTTGGCAGTGAGCCAATCCATGCCTAGAATAACGTCAAACTCACGATGTGGAAGCTCAATGAGACTTGCAGGGAAATTCTTCCCCCGGACCACTAATGGACAGTCGTGATACACATGGGTGAGTCGTAAACTTTGTCCCAACGGGTTGGACACGATAACCGGATTATCCAAGTCTTCCCTTGAAATGTTAGGCATAACAGGCATAGACATACACACATATGATAAAGTGGAACCCAGATCAATTAATGCCATGATAGATGTATCGAATAAGGTAAACATACCCAAGATGACGTCATGGGATAGCTGCTCAGTACGCCCCCGCATCGCGTATGTACGGGCCGGGGCCTTCCCCGCCTGGGTACCAGATGCTTGCCGCTTGGGCTGACTCGATGCTGCTGCCGACTTCTGGCTCTGAGCGGGCTGCGCTGCTGGAGCTGAGGCAGCTGGTGCGGATGAAAACGCCTCACCCGGATTCTTTGAACAATCCCTGCAAAAATGCCCGGCATGGCCACACCCAAGGCACATGCCTTGAGTGAACCAGCATTCTCCTGGGTTCCTGTGGCCACAATGGTCGCATATCGGGTTATGAAACCCATCTCCGCTTTTGCCCTTCTTCTGGACGGACGTTGACGACTGTGCCGGTGCTGCCTTAGCCTTCTTGCTCCGGTGGGAGCTGCTAGGCGCTGCAAAGGACCTCTTACTACTGGTCCCTGCCTTCTGGGGTGGAGATGGACGAGATGGTGCTGCCGACGCCCCCTGCGACTGCTCATACTCAGCCTTCTTGATGAGAGCCGCATTCATGTCCAACGCACGCTTGAACAATGCGTTGATGTCACCCCGAGGGGCAGTGATCAAATGAGCTGACAAGTCGGGGCGTAGACCCTCCACGAAGCGCTTGCACCGCTTCTCCATGGTCGGAACGAGGTCTTGCCCAAACCCCGCGAGCTCGTCAAACTTCTGACGATCATGAGGTAGTGTGAGTTCGCCCTGAGTGAACTTCAGGAACTCCTCTCGCTTTGCCTCGACGATGTGCTCCGGAATATACTCTTCATGGAAAAGTCGATCAAATGTGGCCCACTGCTCGGGCTCCGGGACGTCTTCTCCCACGCGTTTCCACCAGTCATAGGCGGAATCCTGGAGTAAGGCAATTGCGAGGTCGCCGCGCTGATCCTGCGGAACCCTCAGGTTCCCCAAAACTCGGATGGTTCACTCAAACCATAGTTTAGAAATCATGGGGTCGGCGATCTGGTCGCCTAAGAATTCCTCAGATGCATTCTTCCGGAACTTCTCAATGGTGACCACCGCCACTGGTGGCGGCGGTGGAACGTATGCTCCGGCCATCTCCTGGAGGAAGTTCATGAAGTTAGCCGCGAACTGCGGCTGGATGACGGGAACAGCTTCTGGAACAGGGCCCGCGCCCGGGGCTGCCTACTCGGAGGCCTGCTGAGGTGTGAAGCTTGACGCTTCCGTGTGCACGCTCACGTGCTCAGGCTCCCCCTCTAGGACAGCCTGTCCGCTGTTGCCTGCTGCTTGACTCATTCTCTATAGGAATAGCTTAAATCAGAACTAATTACAATATGACATACATGTGAATAAAATAACGGTGTACCTTTCCCTAGGAGTGATGTGATGGGAGATGCCGCTGTGGATTTTCTTGAAAATACCTTTTGACCAAGATGACAAAATATGTTTTTTTTACAAAAACCGAACCTCTCTGATACCAAATTGTAACACCCACCTTCCGTGGACTCGGTTCACCCACGACCCAACGAACCGGTAGGGTTACATGGGCGGTCCGAGAACCGTCCGTAACGTAAAACATTAATGTGTATTTATTATGAAAAACGGTTGGGTTTAATTGGTGAAATAAATGCTAGGGAGTTAATCCCAAAACGTATGAGTCATAAATACGGAGTAAAACGGAAGTAAATAAATAAGTCCAGTCCAAGATAAATAAAACGACAAATGGTGGGTTCATGCTCAAATGTTAAATTAAATGTATATAAATATTAAGCTTGTCCGTGCGATTTTTAGTTATTAAATAAAATCGATTTTTAGTTATTAAATAATCGATTAATACATTGAAATCGATTTTTATAATTAGAATAATCGATTATATATATTTTAATATACTGACTTCGAACACCTGCACAAATTTCTAATCGATTCTTAGGAAGAAATAATCGATTTTTGGCCACAGTTCATCATCTTCTTCCTCTGGTCAGTTTTTAACATTATCATTTTTAATTACCAAACTTCAATTAAATTATTTAGGAATGTTCCCCAATGTTCACAGATCATTTTAGAGTCATTAATTTGTAGTTTTAACAACAACTTCATGGTTTATAATGATTGGTTCTTCAAACATGTCAAACACAAAACTCAACCAAACGACCGTTTATGAACGTAAAAAAGATCTATACGAACATTCTAGTCTCTAAATATATCTACGGGCTTACCTCGAAGCTTAACGGAGGTTTTGGAAATTTTCCGGCGAAACTTCCCGCGACGATTACTCCCAACTCCGACGACCTCTCACCAAAATAGTGGCACCACTGTACTCCTCTCTCAACAAGGAACAGAATAGGATGAAGAATTGTGAAGAATGGTGAAAAATGAGGGAATTGAAGTGGGCTTATATAGTGGTGAGGAAGAAGCCAGGATGTCTCCTTCACAATCTGTACGATCGGCATAGTGCGTAGGACGGCGATTCTAATTGATCTACACGCCGTTCCCTGATTGGGACCAATTTTGGTTCCAGTCGGGTACACTTTTTGGTCCAATTTTCTCTGAATTGAATTCCGTCTACACCGCTGCGA